TCAAAGAGGACAGTTTTAAGGAGAGCAGGACCTTTCAAAATGACAACTGGTTGATTAATTACAGTAATGCAGTTTGTTTGTTCATAATTGATCACTGGGGGGAAAAAAAAGTCATATTTTGTTTTGTTGTGAGTTGAAGTGGTTAGTAATCAAATTTGTGGGGTTTACTTAGCGACCAATTTGGATCATGTTTGCTTTTGTATGTACACTTATACATTACACATCCGTGTATGTTATAAATCTCAGTTGTGTTGTCAGTAAATATTGTTTGAAATCATATTCGTGAGAATAAACAATGTAAATAAAACGGTTTCATATTGTAAGTAATTGAAATACTTTTTAATTACATGATGTTACAAAAACAATTTTGTCTAATGTGCCTTGGCTTGTACAGGTTTGGAAATGTTCTTAAACTTTAAATAGCATTCTTCACTCCTTATTATAAATATTCTATCATGAATGAAATAATGAGTTGTTAACGTAGTATATTTCCAAACCATAACATTTTTAATAAATATCAAAATATGTTAGAAAGTCTTTTAATAACTCAAAAACAGTGTAATAATCATCCATACAGATATGAAATACTGTACATGATACTTAAACAATATTATTTTAATAACTGCAGAAGTATTTGTTGCCATGGCATAGAAATGTCTCAAATGCACCACTTTCACTTTCCATTGATAACATTTTGTATTCCATTGCAAAGGATAACATGATTAAACTATGTGCTAAAGCCTGTACTCACACAGAGAGACAGAAGAATAAGGCATAAAAACACCATGAAATGCAGACAAAGATAAAATTAATTACAACAGGGAAAACATAGATGAGACCACTACAAACATAAACGATACAGAAAGCAAACAAGTAAAGAAACACCAGAGCACGCCCGTGCGTTATATGCATGAACTTCTTTCGAAATAAACGGAACTAACTGAATTACTACAGGTTTTGCAATTCATTTTTTTATTAGTAATAGTTCTTTTTTTATTTTTTTTACATCACTTGACAAGTGTAAACATCACAGAACAATTAAAATAACTTCCCTTTGTAAATCCTTTCTGATCAATCCACTTTGTACCAAACTGCTTGATGTTTACTCCCAATGTAAGTCACTTTGGATAAAAGCGTCTGCTAAATACATAAATGTAATGTAATGTAATGTAAATGGTCATTATCAAGATGAACAGCAACCTCAAGTGCTCTTGTTAGTTTATACAGGTTAGTTTAGCCAGTGTTAAGTCACAAATCTTATCTAACATGTTTTGGCAAGATGATGCCTCGTTTCAAATCTTTTAAAACTAAAGACAAACAAAAAATATATTTAAAATATCTTAGAAACCTATATTTATTCATGTTCATCTAAGTTACTATTATTTGGCTACTATTGTCTGTTGACACATCAATAAAGGGCTGAAGTCAGTGGGCCTTTTGACATTAATATATCTGTTTACATGTGAAAAAAGTTATACTTCAGAATGCAGAGAAGAGGTAATTGTTTGTCTGGGAATTTGAAGTTAAACCACTAAATTCAGTGAATGTTTATGAACATATCAATAACTTAATTGGATTTGTGTTCAACACATTTTTTAGTTGACAATGTATAAATTACTTGACTAAAATGTGTCATATGTGCGTTCCTTCGGTTGTGTAGATGTTTATTTGGTTGTTGCCTAAGAAAAACAAATTTATTCCACAGATATGTGACGTGTTTAGCTTTTGTTTCATTACACAAAATTAACCCTTAAATCATGCAATGTCCTGCGGCTTTTACACATACAATGTTTGTCTCATCAATCCAAAATACATAAAAAAATCCAGTCAACACAACACAAAAAAGCAAGCAAGGTCAAAATGGATTAAAAAAAGTAGGTTTTTCATCTAAATAAATATGGCAGACAATCAAATTGAGCGTTATCTATAATTTTATGATCTTTGACGATCAGGTGGCACTCTAAGTAACTTATGTTTTGGGGCCAGCCTTAGGTACTGCTGATGCAAACCAAGTTTAGTGCTAATAAGGCTGCAGGTAAGATTGCAGAAATACAACTTCGGACTTCACTTGGCACGATGCCATCAAAATTGTTCCAAACGTACAGAGACCACTTGTATGAATTTTGGGCTACAGGCTGGGAAGATGCAGAAATGTCTTTTTTTTGTATCCGCGGACTACTAGAGGAAAGAATAACAAAACACGACAAGCAGCCTCAGTTCATAGGCGTTTCAACATAGACCAAGTTTGGTAGACATACTTTGCCACAAGTACTTCAAAGCGATCCCATTGAGTTGGAAATAGGAAACCAAAAACATATGAAATCGATTTAAGGCATGGTAAAATAAAACCAAACGAATTGAGCGCTATTTAAAATTTTATGAATTTTGACCATTAAGTGGCGCTCTTAGTAACTTTTGTTTTGGGGTCAGCCTTTGGTACTGATGACTCACAACAAATTTGGTGTCAATATGGTAAACGGTATAAGAGATACAGCTTCGGAAACCACTTGACCCGACGGCATCACAATCGTCATGGCTCTTATAAAAAACGGTAAAAGCAATCAACACGCTACGAATAACTTGTTGCCAGCAAGGTCTAAGGATGTTCCGATTCAAATTTGGTGAGAAATGGACAAACGGTCTGGGTGGAGTTAGAAAAAGTAAGGTTTTCAGTCAATTCATCATGGCAGACAGGAAGTTCAATCAGTTATGGTAAGTTTCATATGTATGTTTTCAGCTCAACCTAAGAAACAAAACTGGATGATATTTTTGACATTAGGCTAAAGCTAGCAAAAGTTATTAGCATTTTTCTAAAATCGTTTATATCTTTTGACCACAAGGTGGCACTGGCGTAAAATTTGTTGAGTCCCTTCAGGGCAGGGTGTCAAACATGCACAACAACTTTCAGACTTTTAAAGCAAAGCATGTTTGAATTTTTTGGCATAATTCAAAATGGCCGACGCCCAAAATGGCAGACACAGCAAAAATTGACATGGTTCGACTCGGCTCGATGCTCCAAACGTGCTGATACCAATTTTATGAATTTTGGACAAACGGTTTGGGAAATACAGGCCGAATTGCCAATTTTTTATATCTCCGGACCACTAGGGGACAGAGTGACGAAACACTGCATGCAGCCTCATATCATAGGTGTTAAAACATAGACAAAGTTTGGTGTAAATAGGCTAAAGCGTTGCAAAGTTATCCCCTTACAATCATTTTTGCAAGTTTTGCGTAAGGATCATTCGCTAATAATTCGATAAAGGTTTAACGAATCGAAAATCCAAGTAATAACTTTTGTTCGGCATAGGCAGTAGATGATGTGGAGCGAATTTCGTGAAATTTGGACAAACGGCCACGGAGGAGTTAGCAAAAGTAGGTTTATCATAAAATTCAAAATGGCGGAAAAATTTGCATGGCGGAAAATGACGTCATAGGGTCAGGTCGATTCGTCTTGAGCCAAGGAATCAGTGGGAAGTGGAATTTCGTTTATTCAACTTACAGTTCAAAAGTTATTAGCATAAATGTGGGTGTAACTTTGACCTATTGGTGGCGCTAGACGGTTTGGTTTGGAGACTTCAAATTTGGTCAGATTGTAGGTCAGAGGCTTGGCAGTCAGTGGGCCAAATTTCAAAACTTTCCCGCAAACGGTTCATACGGCTCCCATTGACTTCATTACGGAAGAGGAAGAAGAAGGAAGAATAATAATAGGAAGAAACGGAACAAACACAATAGGTGCCTTCGCAGCTTTGCTGCTTGGCCCCTAATAATAAGAAGAAACGGAACAAACACAATAGGTGCCTTCGCAGCTTTGCTGCTTGGCCCCTAATAATAATAAGAAGAAACGGAACAAACACAATAGGTGCCTTCGCAGCTTTGCTGCTTGGCCCCTAAATACAGCACACAATAGACTATCATTTTTGTGGGGCAATGTAAGCTCAGGGTAACTGTAGTGTTGTGTATTTCCACACGAGGGCACTACAGTTTTAGAAATAATGCATATTTTTCTTTACATGGATATGACTGGGTTTTCTCAACTCAAGCGTATAGAAAGTCAAAAAAGGTCACCTGCCTAGATGTAGATTTATGATCGGGGCGAGTGATTAGAGAAAGATGTTTGTGTAACAGGGGAAGTTACATTTGGAACCTGCAGCAACCTCCTACTTTTCCTCACACTTAAGTAATGGGCATTGATATGGAAGCCCATTTCCGCCTGTTATCGGCATAATATCGGCTTGAACGGTCAAAAGTTGTCAAAACAAGCCGAAATTTTGACTTAAAAGTAGACATAAAAATATGAAATTTTGAGAGAAAAGTCTTAAAAGTCTACATTTTATATAGAAGTTAGATTAAAGTTGTTAAAAAACAATTAAAGTTGACACTTTGAGATTAAAAGTTGAAATTAAAATGTTCCAAATGTCATCATTAGTAAAACCACGTTTGAATTCGCTTCATCTCTTCACAGCTCGTCTTTTGTTAGTGATATGATCATAGAGGTCAACGTTTTTTCACACGTTTATCTCAAAATTGTTACTTTTTAGCTTTTGACTTTTTAAGTCAAAATTTAGATTTTTTTAAAAGCCATTATTATTTTGTTAAACTGGTGGAAAGGGGCTCCTGTACATTGACACAGCACAGAAATGACAATTTACACAAAACATTGTTCGAACTTTGGTCTCTTCTTCTGCTGCCTTCATAATTCACTCCAGATTTTTCTCTCACTCTTTCTCTCCTATTAAACAGGTTCAATAATCTATATGTGTATTAATAATGTAATACGTATGTCCCCTAGATACATAAAAAAGCACATATTGATCTAAGGTATAGCCTGATCATTTTACTAACCATTGACTTAAATAAACCCTTGACCCCTTCCCACCATCTCTAGTTCGACTGCAAGAGGAAGCACATACCAATTTCCAAACATAATTTTTTTTTACTTTATATTTTTTTTATTATCAATTATTATTTTTATATATTGTAAGACAGTTTCTTGTGGATATCCAGTGGCTCAGTCAGCAGAGCATTGTGCTACCAACACAAAGATTGTGGGTTCGAACCCTAGATAAAGCAAGAACTGACCAAATATGTTCATTCCTCTACATATTGAGGAATTTTTATCAATAATTTGAAATAAAAGACATTATCATGAGTAATTCTAAGTACTGGTAACAAGTTTAGGATGTCTCTATAAAAAAAAAAACGGCATGATCTCTGACCTCATTTATACCGGAGAGTAAAAGCATACAAAGGCTATGATAAGGAGTGAGAGCATCTCGTTATCATGTTCTCACTGGAGAGTTGTTTTGTCTCCGACAGCCTTTAATTTTGTCTCTTTTGCATATGATCATCAACAGAAATTGATAAAGTCGCAGTATTAAAAATGCTGTAATCATATTTTCTGACCTTTCATTCAACCCGGAAGAACAAAACTGCTTCGAAAATTGAAGATGGAAATTAATAGTTTTCAGACATGATAGTGTCTTGAAAAATGTTCTGGGTTTTTATGACTTTTTAAAAAATCTTTCATGTTATGCATATGGGAATTATTCTGGAAATAATAAAAACCTGCCATCTGTCAATCTCTGAAGGTTTGTCTGAAGTGAAACCGGGGACCTGTGAAGTTGTGGCAGCTCATCGTTGCTGTAATAAAAATAAAATTGAGGAGCGCTCTCAGACAGTCAAGTGCTCCTGTCTTGCTGGTCAAGTTGCTGGGACCACATACGCCAAGCCATCGTGCGTGGATGGTATGTCCATGGTCCCCTTCATTGAGACAGATTTAGTAATGTTCTACACAAGTCATTTTATAAGGGGTAAAAGAGCAAAGTACGCTACACTGCTTTAATTGAGAACCAGAGGTGGGATAATACTATTCTTGACATGTTATGGGCGGGATCATATGGTTTGTGATGTCATAAATCCATAGCTTTTAGAGGCTAAGTTTCTTGGTGGTTAACAAAACTTCTGAAAGTGTTGTTTTGATTGGTATAAGACACTTATGAACTCAAAAAGCCAATTACCTGCCAACACAAGGAAAAGTGGAATTGTCATCCGTAGTCCTTTTCAACATACAGATTTGTAGCAGACATACAGGATCAACAACTTTTCCATTCAACATATCAGGTTCTCATCATAAAAATCAGAAAAAAGTATTGCAAACTTTTAAAAGAAGCAGTCTGGAAGATGCAGAAGCATACAGTACATTCTGGAACCTGCTGGGTTCATGGTGTAGTTGGGATATGAAGGTTTGCTTGTTAAGAGATACCTGTGGATCTGACCCGGAGTTTCCTGCTGTAGTACAACCAGAGCGTCTTTCTGATGAAGTAGGTGACCGATGCAAGTCTTGCAAGATAATAAACCAGCACATTAGTGACCCATGCTGAGACCGAGGCCAAGGCACAGCAGATGTTGTTTCATGCTGTTTTTTTTAACTCAGTTTGGTCAGCAAGGAGCATTAATCAGACATGGCTTGTGTCCTTACTGCCACACGCGTTCATATGGGGGTTCTCTTATAGCCACTAGTTTCTTTTTCCTTAAAATGATAATATTTAAAGTTTATCTGTAAATATAAAATAAAAAAAAAACAGTTTAAATCTGTATTTTTACATGGGTTTTGTACAGGGGTTATTAGTATTTGCACAGTTTAAATGTGGAAAAACTGTAAGTCACTGATTGGTGGAAATTTATGTAAGACGGGTTCAAAAAGTGAGTGTTGAAAAATGGCTCTATAGCACCACCTATTGCATTTCAGCTTATGGTTCGCTAACAGTTATTTTTTGAAATTCAGCACAAGTTTAGGGTATCAAGACTTACCGTAAATAATATGGATTGTGTTTCTAAAATCGACAGAAAGTCTGCTATTTTTCTAAAACCTAAGATCTATAATCTTACTACGCATGTTTTCCCATTGATATCACAACATGAAGGTCTGGAGAAATTAAAATCACACAAATCCTTTCTTTTCTAGTGCTATGTTAATTAAAATTCCTGGCTCATGCTACATCATCAAATGCCTTTTTTGTAATCATTTGGAATCCGTGCGACACCTAGTGGTGCAATAAATTACATAACTTACCTTTGAACGATTAAATTTTAGGACATGTGACGGCCAACAGCCATTTTTGATCTATTAAACATATTATTGTTAAGTTTACTACAAGCTTTATATGTTTCGTTATTATATTGAGAGTTATATATTAATATTATATTTAAAATGCTGAAGTTTTATGTTGTATTCCTCCCAGTCTCTATCGTGCGGCTGAAGTGGTGGTGTCAGATGGAGCCATGTTTACCAGGGGAAGATTGTAAAGTGTTGCCTGACCTTACTGGTTGGTCCTGCAGCACTGGAAACAAAATCAAAACCACTAAGGTAAGCAGGTAATTGTGGTCACAGGCTCTTTGAATTAAACACAGACACACACGATAGATTTTCGTTGCCAGGTGTTTGCTTGTTTGGCTTGTAAATGACTTTCCTGCTATTAATTCATCAAAGGGAAATAATCTAAATTGCAGATTCTTTCTCACGTAGGTCACACGGTGAAGCAACGCTCGTCTGCACATGTGATGGCACCGAATAATTTCACAGAACACTATTTTAAAATCAAAACTGATTGACGACTGTGGATTTTGAGAAGCTTTCACTTTATTAACTTTTTCATGTTGAAAATTATTTAATTGCTGGACTAGGGACCCAAATGTTTTGTTGCTGTTGTTATTGTAATGATACCTGAAGGATCTTGTGATACTAAAAAAAGTGCTGCAAATTCAGTGTTGAGTCAGGAATAATTAATAAATATGCATATGAAATATTAAAAGGAAAACATTAAATGTATTAGAATGGATATCAAGGTCTTTTTTTTTATTAAAACATTTAATTAAAGATGGGCGAAGAGCAAGTGATGCAAAGTATATAGGTCTAACTTTATCAAAATAAAAAAAGCAATTTAACTATAAAAATTGGTAAAACTACAGTGTTCGTCACATGTGGATTTGAACAGTAATGTGTGATGTTTGAAAAATAAAGATACTGAATATAAGATTTCTATTCTCTATGTCTCGAAACGTTATAGTTCTTAGTATTCATTTGCTTACATTTGACATCTTTGTTAGATTAAAAGCCAGTTGTATACCAAAGTAATCAGAACTAATTAAATAAATCAATCAATCGATCAAACAAACATGTTTTTTTTTCAGGAACAAACCATATTTCAATATTTTTGAGTCCTATAGTGCACAAACAGAGCAAACCTTAGTTCAAGTTTACACAGCCTTGATTCATTCCAACATTTCCTTCGCAGATCTTCATGCGAAAAAACATGTAAACATCAATATTTACAAAATATCCCCTCTCTTTATTCTGCTTCTTTTGTCTCTTTCACTCTCTCTTTTTCTTTACTTCTTCTATCGTCTATCTATTTCTATCTTGCTTTAACAAAATGGTGAGCTACAAATTTAAATTTGTAGAATTTAAGGTTTATTTAAATGAAGAATTTAAATTATTTTAAATTTAATGAGTAGTTTTAGAAGAGCTACTTTTTACCTGTCCTTTGAGTTGTATTCAGAACAGATACCTTTACTCTTCTTTTAGTGCTTTCTTTGTCAAGTAACGGAACTTTTCCTCAAGTATAAAATTTAATTACTCTTTAAACCACTGATCACGCTATGTAGCTCAATATTTTGCAAAACTTTTAAACAACTATTGAAACTATTGAAAGAAAAATAAGTGAAAAGTCAAGGCTATAGTTTCATATCATCCACCCACTAGGGGGCAGCACTAATGTTTGTATAAAGTCCTCATTAAGCTCATTTTATAATGTTTCTCCTGTTTTAAAATGTGAGTAAAGGACAATTGTCTACTAGTACATTTAAAATAAAACAGAAAGACAACTTAAAGAAGTTTCAGAAGTGACTAGAAACGGCATCACTAACAACCAAATAAGACTTAAATTCCCAAAGTATCACAAATATTCCACGATAGTATTGTGAAAATGTGTGTAATATATTGCTACACCCCTAACAGAGACTACTATTTCTTAAGCAATCATGCGATAGAGACAAACTCGTTTGTGTTGCCTCTAAGAATTTGGTTAGGTTTTTATTCAAAACCCAATCTCCAGGCATTTCCTTGAGGTGCTGCTGGGACTCCTGTAGGTGTTTCCTGATTTGCATTCTTTGGCTACAGTTACGGTTATCCTGAACATCATATGGTTTTCCTTCAAAGGCTACAAAGAAAGAATGCTTAGAGTTATTTGAATGCCTGTACCAAAGGAAAACCGTCTCGGCTTTTGAGGAGAAAATGAACCTTTGTATTGAATATATTCATAAATGCAGCTTTTCGTGGGGCTAAACGCAAAGTATGAGCATTTTATTCAGCAAAATGATTTTAAAGTTAAACGAGGCCATCATTCTGTTTTCCTCTCGTTACAATAATGATCAATCTGTTATTCCATGAATGAGACGGCACACACGTCTGCTGTGTGCCTGATTTAGACTAATATTAATATAAACACTCAGCACTGCATCTCGTCTCTTGATTTCTCTCTCACTGACTTGACACACCACCTGCAAACAGAGTCAAGTAAACAGAAGTTTGGAGCGAAACAAGCTCTGTTTGATATGGAAATAGAACAGAAGAGTGCGTGTGCGTGTGTGTGCGTGTGTGTGCGTGTGTGTTTATCTGGATGTCTGAGAAAAACAGACGGGGAAGCAGGAGATGCTAGAGTCCGTGTGCTCGCCTTGTGACTCGTAGTTATTATTATTAGCATAGTAGTGTGAAGAAAATGATTCATCTTTGGGGAAGCGCTGTGTAAAATCCACGGTTAAAGAAGGAAATAATATATTCGTTTGTTTACACACACTCAGCTCCTGCAGGTCTCCGTGTGTCATTAATTCTTGCTTCTGACTGCTTTCAATGATCCATCATGAGGCTCATTCACCAATTTGGTGGCGTCTAAATGTGAATAAATATTTATTAGTGAGGCTGTGCTCTGATTGATCGTTGGAGAAGTTTCATCTGAAGTACTTTTACAGCTCACAATTTAAGTGGAGATAATATTTTTCACTTTTGATG